GCTCAACTACATTCCTGAACCACAACTGCCTTCCACTATCAATATCATAACTATGAACTTCACTCCTTGCAGGTCTCAATCCATAAACCTCCAGGGACTTAAGTGTGTGCATTAGTAGTAATGCTTGACCTCATACATTTCTCTATATGCCACCAAGCCATCTATTACAGGTCACAAAGATTGTCAACTCCAGCATCCTGCTGCATGCCTGCTAACCCACCGCCTTGCGCTTCCCCAGCAGTCTCTTCCTTGCTGGCCCCTGCTGGCCACCTTTGCCCAGCTTGGCTGCTTCCTTCACTGCACCTGCCCTGGCAGCTTGTTTCACTGCAGCAAGCTCAGCCCGCATCTGGTGAGCAGTGATGGCAGTGGTTTCATGGTCAGGCATCCCATATGCACCACCACCAGTGCCACCCGTCGCCATGGTGTCCCCATACTCTGCGATGACATCGTCAAGTCTCTCGCCAATCAGGTCCTCCAGGGAGTCACCCTCTGGCTCACAACCAGCTGGCCCCATAATTGTTTTGCCAGCAATCACAGCCGCCTCCGGTGCAGCCATGGCCATCTGAGCTGAGACCTGCTAGCAGAACATCAAGATGTGAGCATATGTAAGGCCCAAAATGCATGATACTGGTGCCCTGCAATGTTCAGGAACCCACAAGCAACTGCATGACATGTGCAATGGATACATCCACAATGACATGTCATAATACATCATGTCATAACCCATACACCGCGTACCTGCTGCTGCACTTTGGTGGCACCACTGTTCATAGCACCCATCAAGACGGCTGGGGCCGTGGCAGGGGTCTGGCAGGATCCCTGCAAATGCAGCATATGGGCAGACTTCATATAGTAAGTCCAAGGCGGCGGATCCAGCCTTCAGGGACCCCTCCTCTTAGGGACTCCTCCTCTTCCATTCACCCGAACATCCGAGAGACAGAGGGTTCAGCAATCACCACCAATCCAGCGTGCGAATCTGGTCCATCAACTGTGATCTCAACTCCACATCTCAGCAGCTAGCCATAATCTCGCGCTCCCGACTAATTCGGGGGTCTCCCCAGGAATCGAACCCAAGACCTTAAACCGCTAATTGCAGTAGTGTCATCCCAGACCAGACCTATCTAACAGCAAGAATGTACTTACAGCTGCCTTGGCATTCGCAAATGCCACTGGGATGGTCGATGCCATGATTGCCCGCTTCTTCTTTTCCAGGCACTCCTGGCTGATCCCCCAGTACTCCAATGCAGACTTGGACAGCACATCTGCATGTCATACAAGGAGTTGTGCAGTTCATGTGTGGTTTCCAAGCATGCAACTGCAGCTGCAATAAATGCCACACTTATAGTTTGTGTGGCAGTACACAAACTCGATGGCATCCTTCCACTCTGTGCAGAAGCCGATGTACAGTGGTGCCTTGATGGACAGAGGCAGGTTTGATGCCTTGATTGTGGCCTGCAAGTAAGTCAGTGCCTCATGAGTGTGTAGTGGCACGTTGTGCTGCTGTTAGGGGCCTTACCCGGCAGAACCTCTCATTGAAGTTGTGTTGGACAACTTCCTCCATGACTTTATTAACCTCTGCAACAAAATCCCGGTCCCAGGCATCCCGCTGCTTGCGTCCCTCGGCAAGTATGTCATCCTTGCTCTTCTTGCTTGATTTTAAGTTTGCACTTCTCTCTCCTGGGAAGCTGGGGGGTTCCAAGGGAAGAATGAAGAAGACAATTCCCAGGTTGTCATGCTTATGCTTTTCAGGGCCACAACAGCAGCTTTAAAGAAATGTACAACTGGATACAAACCTGGCCATGTCACGAGCAATTTCAGCAGGTGAAGCTGGGAGGGAGAACAGCGCCACCAACCCCTTGACCTTCTTGCTTCCTGCTGCTTTCTTCACCGCTACCTCTGAGGCATGCATCTCCTCACGGTAGTTCTTGATGGCCACCCCGTTTGCAGCCAAGCCAATGGAATACTTGCTGTACTTGTCGAAGTCAAAGAGTGGGGCCACTGTGGCCGACTCAGGGGCAGCTGGCTGTTGTGCAACGAGCTGCAATGCAGTCTGGCCTGCAGGATGGAGTGTGGCAGTGATATGTAATGTTGGCACTATGGACTGATTCAAACACCAGTGGGCAATGTCACACACCTGCTGCTGCACGGACTGCTAGCTTCATTATTGCCTGGGAGACACCATCACCATCATCACCTCTAGATGGGATTGGAAAGCCTGTCTTACTGCTGTGTGGCATAAACTTCATCGCAGCTGCAGTGCAGGAGGTTACACTGTAAGACAGCACTCGCAGGTTTACAGCATCAGAATTGCAAAAGGGCATACCTGCACGCTCCCGAAGATTATAGCTGCTCCGGAAGATGGTGCTGGCAGTCTCAAAATCAGGCACATCCTCCTTGGCATTAAAGCCTGCTCCTGACTGATGCGAGACCAGACCCGGCAGGCTGGCCTTTGCCCTGGATGCTGCACAGCGAGATTTCTGGGCAGACTTGGTCTTCATGGCTGTGGCTGATGAAGGCATGTCC